TTCGTCAGACCTCTAACCATTGACCAACCTGGTATGAGAGACTCTGTGAGTGTCGCGGGACACTCTTCAGTATAGCTCAATGGATCGCTGAGGTGCGCAAACCGTCACACCACGGTAAGGTCCAGTCTCTTCGTGACGGCTCCGGGTGGCATGAGAGCTAGGCACTGAAAGGGCGGTATAGCTTGACTATTCACTTTTCTACTGAGGTGTGTGTTAGGATGGGTAGATCCTAGCAAACAATATGCCCTGTGTAATATTTCACTGAGGTTTCATTTCCTCTATGGTGTAGCCGACTGAGCCTCAGCACTCTTTCTTTCATTTGTTCATCCGGAATATAACCAAATTCACGTGGTCTCCTCGGTTTCCTTCCTTGATGTTTTCCAAATCAAGTACTTAGATCATCCTGCGGGATATCATAAGTTCCATCAGTTTTCTAAATCACCCGGCTTACACACAGTCACAACGCAGCAACAGAACCAATTTGAGCACACGCAAATGAAATCCATAGAAGCGCTGACCAAAAATCTGGATGTCCGGACTTCAGGAGGCGGCATAAGGGAACCATCAGTTTCGTCTGCAGACAGTATTGCTAATTCCATCACCGAATTCGCTCTGGACGCGGATACAGATCGAATTTTCGATTCTTGGTTAAATAGGTACCAAGATATGTTCAAAGTCGGTTTCTTCAAGCGAGCTGACCCATGGAAGGTATGGCTGCTACTTCGGAAACTTGCATACATGCACACAACTGTTACACGATTCACATAGTCCCTAAACAGCCCAGTGATATCAGCCCCGACAGCACTGTTCAGACCCTCACGCAAATCTTTGGAGGCAACAAGTCCTTGTTCAGCATCTGATACCAGTGCCTTAAATTGGTCATGAGGGATGATGACTAAGTCAGTTTCACAACAGTTGTCAATCGAGAACGTGAACGGTTCAAGCTCAAAGATATTGACGGAAATCTATTCAAATGCCTTATATCTGGCATCCAATCTTCTCGTCATGCAAATATTGGGACAAGATTGTTGCAGCAACTTGAACGAAACTCAAAGGTAACCTCACAAGAGCTTAGTGCTGAATGTCACTGCCTCATCCAACTGAATCTGGACAACACAATGATCGGCCGGGCACTAGCTCGCTCGTACAACGTAGCGCACCATGTTTCCGGAAATAAAAATAAAGCGTTTCAGCGCAACCCCCATCTCAAGCACAGTAAGCCTTCTAGACTGTGTTGGTCTTGTGGTAACTGGCATTACATCCGCTTTTGCCCGTTCAGAAAACACTGTTGCCAGACATGCCATCGTAATGGTCATAAGGAAGGATTTTTCCCACGGGACGAAGCCGATTGATCACCAGAAGGGCGCACGTAAAACGGCTCATATATCACAACGGAAGCAATGTTGGTCGAATTCTGTCTTCGTATCATTCGAAGTGGATTTCGCATCCCGCATGAAATTCACCACACTTCCTGAAAAACCATCCTCTTTATCTTCAGCTCGGTACAGTATCAGACATCACATTAATTTCACATTCCCGATGCAGTTGGGGAACCATTATTTTCTGCTACCAACCACTTCGCACAGTCTGCTTCAGACAACAACTTACTGGTCACTGATGAACTCGCCTGTGATGTGCGATTTAAAGAAACCTGCTATTTCACAGATCGTTCAGGTCTTAATTTACTAGGTATTGATTGGTTAGATCAATCGAATCTTTCTTGCGTCCCTCTACAGTCGTGTCACACTTATACAAGCATTTGCCAACAACTTACGCACAATCCAATCAACTTTTTGTGACGTTTTTCCAAACGGTCTTGGGCATAGTTTCAAAGCCTTCATTTGAAGCCAAATAGCAAACCTGTTTTCAGACCAAAACGCCCTGTACCTTATGCGGTTTTTGCATCTCTATGGACACTGAACTCGATCATCTGTAGAATTCAAATGTTATCCAGCCTGTCAACCACCCTTCTTGGTCAACTCCCATTGTTATGTTTGGGAGAACGAAAGGAAAGATCAAGGTTTGTGCTGATTATTCCACAGGCTTGATTGCTGCACTCGATTCACACCACGGTCCTCCTCCAATTCCAGAATACCTATTCATCAAACTTAATGGTGGCACTTGTTTTGCTAAACTCGATCTGGCTGATGCTTATTTACAAATCGAAGTTGCGGATGACTCCGAGGATCCTCTAATCATTAACATGCACCTTGGTCTTTTCCAGCTTGATCTCATTACGGCGCCAGCCATATTCCAACAGGTCGTGGACGCTATGCTTAATGGGTAAACAGGCATCGTTGTGTACTTGGATGGTATCATTGTAGCAGCCTCTAATCAGAAAGAACTCCTTCATCGCTGAACCTCAGTGTTTTATGGAATCCAGTAATTCGGCTATATTCATCTCCGAGCGGAAAAATAAGAATTCCTTCTTACGTCTGTTAAATATTTGGGTTTTATTTTCGATAAATCTGGCCGTCATCCTGACCCGAACAACATTGATGCAATTCGGAGAATACCGCCACCGACGGATGTACCCTCATTGTGATACTCCCTCAGGTTGGTGAGCCATTACAGTCATCATCATCGACAGCATGACATCAGTGTTCAACACCGATGCTTCACTGCCGTACAGCCAGTACAGCCATTACAGTACTTTTCTACCAGATATGCGCCGTATTCCCCTCAGCCATCTCTTAAAAAAGAGGATATTCCCTGGAATTTGTCATCTCAATGTTAATCAATTTTCGGCACATCACTTGTGCCATCAGACCTGCTTGCAATTACAACCCACCTATGGATATTGTTCTAGCATGGTACGGATCCAACCACGAAGTCGGAGCAGTTATTTCTCATAGATTTCCTGACGGATCTGAAGCAGCCATATCCTATGCAGCTCGATCTCTGCCACCAGCCAAACGCAATTACTGTCATATAGAAGAAGGCAGCACTTGCAATCGTCGTTATCGTGAAGAAATTTCATCAAACGATTTACAGCCGCCATTTTACACTCCTCACCGATGACTACCCGCTTATCAACATTTTCAGTCAAGAAAAATGTTCCGGCGTACACGCAAATCCTCTACAGCGCTGGGCGACCACTCTTCGTGACTATGATCTCTCAATCAAATACCAGTCTACGGATACCATTAGCCGGGCAAACCTCTTATCAGGATGAATGGACTCAACGACAGCCGGCAGAAGGTACAGTTGTGGCTTCCATTTCTGTTGAAGCGGAAGTTTGCACCATACTCGCTGCATCCAACCGAGCCCTTTTGGTTGCTTCAACAATGGTCCGTGACGAAACCAGACGTGACTTCGTGCTCCAACGGTATTGCACTACCACCGAATACGCTGGCCATCGTCAGTGTCACGCGACATTCAGTCCTTATTCCATCGACGATTTTCTCTATGTGAAGTTGATGGTCGCTTTCTCTTTGGTGAACGTGTTATAATGCCAGTCAGACTGCAAGCGCGAGCACCAAAGCACTTTCCTTTTGGATACCGGGGCATCAACCACATGAAAGCCTTAGCGCAAAGTCTGCCGTTTCACAAGAAAGCTTTACCCTACTTCTAGTACTGATTATATTCAAGTAGGTCTTTCCTTCAGTCAAACATCTATGGTCGAAATATTTCTGGAGACTGAAATTGTCTGTCAGTATCTAAATTTGATGCCTGTTGTAGGTTAGTCCCAATTCGAGCTCAGAAACGTGTTGCATGCAGTTCGCCGCGCTTGGATCACTTATCATATATGAGTGTGCTGACATCGGCTGACAGAGATAAAAATTTATACACGGGTTAGAAGTAGTTAGGGCTGAAAATTCACGGAGTTTTTTCAGTCATGAACACTTGGTTCTATAGATAGATGGGAATAAAATCTGTGACCAAGCGTACGCACTCCTGGACGTTTTTGTTAGCATAGTGCCACGCATATGATTCCGCCTGCCAAGATGGACAGTGAATCACCGGTATTCACCACTGTTGTTCCCAACGGCTTCCATGAAAGTGCTTGAGATTTTTCGAACCTTCGTGGGAGTTTTGGTGCGAGTGGAGTCTTGAGCGTTTCAGAGTGGTACACCTAGCCTTACAAAAGTTTTTGTAATCAAGAAATCCTGTCTGTAGCGCCCATAACAGTTTTGTGACGCTGATAGAATTCAACGGGCGAGATGCCTCAAGTGGTTAGAGCACGGATTTACTGACCAGAAGGTCCGTGGTTCGGACCCGACCCTCTGCCTCCGACTTCCCCTGTCTAGGCTTGGGCAACCTGGCTGTGATTTATCTAGCGGAGTTAGCGAACTCAGAGTAGTTAAGGTAAAAGACCACTCATCGTAACGTCACTCCTTTCGTATCGCTTTGTTCTAATGGCCTGTTATACTTCGTTTCAGCCCCAATGCTTCCTGCATGACTGAGTGGATCGATATTGCCTTCCTAGGATGGTTAGCACATTGAGCCGTTTCTTTCCACTATGCTCCCGACTTCCGGTGATTTCGATTCGCTTACTTGGTGCTGGAATGCGCTCTCGAAGCTGTTTGGAGACGACCACAATGGAACTGTCAAACTCGGAGTACGAGTCATTGTCCAACGAAACTCTCGACAAGCTGGCCGAAGTGTTTGACAGTTTGGGTGAAAAATACAATCTAGACAAGGACTACGATGTCGAACATGCGTACGGGGTTCTCAAAGTGTATTTTGGTGCCGGGATCGGGACGTACATAATCAATAGACAGGCTCCGAACAAGCAGCTTTGGTTGTCTTCTCCTCGTAGCGGTCCGAAAAGATATGACTTCATTCGTTCAAGAGATGAATGGGTATACAGACATGACGGAACCGCTCTACATGAACTTCTTGCTCACGAAATTTCCGATATTGTCAAATCCACCATTGCTTTTCCCAAACGATGATTTCAGTGTAGTCGTAGTCATATCGTAGTTAGAAATCATTCCATTGATTGGATTGTCACTTATGAACTATACCGAAAATCGAACATTTTGTTCAAGCGTTTGAAGCTCAAAACTGCGTTGAATTCATAATGTCGTCTTCATATCCGGTTAGCCGAAGTCTTTATCGCGCTACTAAGGACAGGAAACTTCTGGTTTGGTGAATTCCTTATCAGGGTTAGCCCCCAAACTAACCATTCAGTCATTCTTTTGTAGCCAGAATCTATTCCGTACGGCTCAGGGATATGTTGGATGCCTCATAGAACCCAACATGACCTATCTTAGCCACGTAAAACAACGCTTAGAGCTGACTTACTCATTATCCGCAAGTAACCTTCCGTTGCATTTTCAAATTCAGAATGTGAACAAAAGCTATTTATTTGTTCCACAGACAAAACATCACAGTTGGATCAAAGAACATACGAAATGAGAGAATCTGGAGGGAAGTATGCAGAGTTAAGGGGCGATTAAGTCATGGGTAATACCAGTCTAGGAAATGAAGCGAAAATGTCAGCACGATCATGGTAAATAGGATCCAGAATTGTGCGCTCGCTTTGTTACTGAGGGCGTTCCGCAGAAATTCATTACCCTGTCGGATGTGTTCTGTAGACATGGTGAAGTTCTCACCAATTTGCTGTGTGACCTGAAACGGAGAGGTTATATAGAGAAAGTCGAAGAAAGGTTTTGAAATAGGCACGAAAGCTCTTTGATAAACATGACGACCACAGTGAAGAACAGAAAAACTAAATTAGTTTCTGCCTTCGCATTTCTAAACGAAGAGACCCTCACGCCATGGTTATTGCTTTTAGTTTTGTCAGTTCTTTATTTTCGGGAGCATTCGGCTTTTACAACACAAATGGTCGAAAGTAAACACAGTCTAACTGAAACTAAGCAACTGACGGAATGCTGTTAACTGTCCAGCGCACTCATTTTTTCACAACGTCAAGACTTCCACTTACCTCCAACTGTTCGCTCAAGTGCGTAGATAGCGTTTGGTTCAGCCTGCTGATCTCCGATATGGCTCGAGCGACTAGGTTCAACTCGTCGCGCTGTTCGCTAAGGTGCTCATATATAGATCGGTTTTCGCGCTCGAATGCTTGGAGCTCTGCTTCGCTCAGGTTGGTTTCTTCTATGTTTGAACGCTCATCCTCATCTATTTGTGATGGACGGTGTCGTGCTTGGTTGTCAGCGGGAGGATGACCAGACCGGATGGACAAATCGGTTGATGGTATGGATGTTAGAGGCTTTGAGGGTGGAGCCGATCGTATGCCACCAGCAAGGCTACCTGTAAGCTCTTGCAAATGTCGTTGACGTTCCAGCTGAAGTAGTCAATAAATAGAAGGCGTTATTGCAGGACAAAAGTGAAGCGTTATCATCACCAGAAGCAGCAACATCAGCGCTGACACTGATGCTTCACTGGCGTGCAACTACAAAGTTCATATGATTGTATTTAGAGCCTTAGAGTGAAAAAAGAGTGGGTGAGGGGGGACTTCGTGCCGGTCCATGTTAAACGATTTGAGATCCCTTCACCTCCAAGCGCTCAATCAGTCTGAAAGGAAACTGACAACACAAACGCCATTGACTTCGATCAGCCACAATTTCTTGCAACATCTCCAGCCAAGCGCAGGCGAGGTCACGAGGACCCCATCCTGGGAGGCGCACAACACCCAAGCTCTTCGTAATCTCTTACACCCTTTTGCCAAGTCATAGCTTGTCCATTCTGAAGGAGGCCGTAGAACAACGCTCGTCCGGGTAGATGGTGTTTGGGCATGTGTAGCACATGACCGAGTCACCGCGGTTGATTGTGCTGAGTATTTCCCACGACTGAACAACCAAATACCCGTTTTCTAATTATCCCGTTACTAATCCGTTGATGCTATCCAGAACCGGCAACGCTTCTGAGGCATCGGTGGTCAGAAACCTGAAGACGCCTCACATCATCTGTTCGTAGGGACCACGTTTCGCAGCCAAAAGTGAGGCGTACTCAGGTGGAACTGGTCACCAGTGTCAATACGGAGATTTTATCGTAAGCGCTGGCTAATCCTTGTGGTTAACTGGTTCTAGTTAGCATCCGGTCAGACACTACTTCTAGGACTAACTTCAAGCATCATCGGCCTATAGGGATGGAAGTTAGGTGTGTTAAAAGGTGCACTGAGGTGGAAAAAACGGACATGTCGGGGTCACTGGTGAAGAAGCACCGATGGTCACACACCACAAATTGCATTCAAAGTTTGTGTTTTGAACGCAGTCTGGTGTTCCGAACTGAATAGTCCTGAAACCTGCCGATAAACTTCGTAAACCTGTAATTTGCAATTTGTGGTGAGCATTGACCGAGTTCATAAAAAAGTGTCGTGTCACCAAGTCTTTGAGGGTCAACATTATCGCAGTTCAATCGTTGATTAACAACACGGACTGAAGGATTGTTAACCCAGCTGGTCAGCTATCTACGAACCCCAAGAGAAGCACATTCAGGTAAGCAAAGTACAAGGTGGGCTAACTTAGTTTTTTTCTCTATACATGATAAGCTTTCGCACCAAAATTGGTTAGCAGCGTACCCGTCGTGTTCACAACAGCCGTTCATGATAGGCAGGGGCAAGCTGATGTATACGTACGTGAACGAAAGTGCCGAAAAAAGACGGGTACTTACGCTAGCGGGACAGAAACCCCTACCATGACATATGGGTAAGCTCACGGGTGTGGAGGTTGGTGGTAGGAGGATGACTAAAGCACGCTTACTGATCCGGCTCAGACACGCGAGGATAGGTCAGCCTATTCCGGCTTTTAGCAGGTAATTGAAACCAACGGACTTGAATAAATGGAATTCATGAGTCGTGACAAACCGAACGATTGTGAGGTGACACCGGGTCCTTGTCACCTAAACTAAAGTTGCTTACTTGGAGAGAATATTTAGGAAATTCTGACGAACAGACCAAGCTTTTCATTGGGCTGCGTCCCAGGGGCCGACCTCCCTAATTGCGTCTATTCGGGTGAAGGCCAAGCACAGTGCTCAGTTTACAAAGATTACTGGCCAATTGATACACAACACTAAGAGTGGTAAGTTCGTCGTGGGCCAAAAACTTCTCCCGGCGCCGTTCATAAACAGATCTGCCTTACGTTGAGTCTAGAATTTGACAATATGTCGAATATGTCGGGTGCGTTTACTGGGAGTTGATCGGATGGCGGTCGATGTGTTATCGGAGCTTAACGATCAGTTTGTAAACGTTTCGCCACCGATCAAAGAGACTAATTCAACTGCGCACCGACGATGCCTCATCGATTGGTGCAAGCTGATTACCAAGCTCGGCGAACAGATCCATGGCCGTCTGATCAACCACCAGCCTGAGCACCTGAAAGCGAAGCTCCTGGCTGGCTCGTACACACTAATAATCCACATGGGACGGTCTTAGTAGCAACCGACTGCATTTGCTTGAAATGAGATGTGAGTGATTAACCAAACAAAAGCCGCCAACTGCTTAGATACATTTGTTTTGCTTCATTCGTGTCAAATGCCGCGAAATATGGGAGGTTACAACGGGAGTACAGGGGAAAAAAAGAACCTACCTCCATATCCTTTAACCGACGCAACTTGTTCATTTCTTCTTCCAAACATTCAACAACGACTTGTCGATGCTGTTTCAACTGTTTTTGATCATTGGTCAACACGCGTCCCAGTTCATCTAGCCGGGAAGTTTCTTTCAACTGAAGCAGTAGCGTCGTACATTGATCGATCATTTGTGTCACTTGTTCCGTCAGTTCTGAATGTAGTCGTTGTTTCGTTGAGCTGCCCAAGCTCGTCCCGGTCAGTTGTTGTACACGTTTGATATAGCCGGCCAGTACACACAGACTCCCGCGGAGACTAGATGCACGGTTCCAAAAGGAAAAGGCATTTTGTGGTTTGTTTTTCAGAGAATTGGAGTCGGTGCGTGCTCTTAAGGAACTGAGTTCGCCGGTTGTCTCGAGGGCATGGACAATTGTTTGGAAGATGCGGGATATGTCACAAGCCATTGGGTAGTGCGCTGTAACTTCAGGGATATGTTGAATGTAGCCTAAAAAAATTTACGGAGATTTTACTGAAAAGAAAAGCGTCATCATAAAAGCCTCCAACGAACCGTTTAGTCAAGAGCATTGAAGCACCACAGATTCAGCCTAACAAGTCCGCTCGGTTTCCTAGGCGACCGGGGCTGTCTTTTTAACGTTAAGGCGTCCATGCATTTTTATGGGATATTTCGACAATATTCTCAAGGTGGCCAGACAGGAGTGTGTCCGGAAAGAAAAAATGAGGAACATAAATCCACAATAAATGGAGGTTTCCCGACAATGTCTGGTGAGCCCTGACTGCACATTGAGTTACCCTACATTTTCATCCAGACTACCTGGAAAACACAGAGACGTCTTAAGACGAGCAGGTGCAATGTGTTTGAAAGCAGACACAAAGACAGACGTTATCCGGTAACGGGAGGTCACCTTACTGGTGACTTTTTCGGCCTACGCGACTTGGCTGCGAAGCTTCTATTCTACCAGATGAGTATGAGTAAATGATCCTACTTCGATCTACCTTGCCACTTTGGTCAACAAGTGAAACCTCAACTAACTTAGACAGTCGTTGGTAACGTTGTCATCAAGATCGCAAAGCATCAGTGCACTTCATTGGTCCACTGAGTGAAACCAGCAGACTAACGATCCTGTGAGACTTCGGTGAGTTCGTAATGATAAAGCGGGCTCCTTGGTTGTTAGTCTGTTCGCCAAGCTTTGCAGTTGGACTGTAAACATTTCGCCACCAGTCGAGGTGATGTCCTTATTGCGGGGTGGAGTCACCTCGATGATGAAACGTTACCATCCAACTGCCAAACTCGGCGAACAGAACAGCAACGAGGCAACGCACCCGAGCTACCTGTATTCCGCAAAATCGCCAAAGTGAGTTCCATTTGACGCCAGTCCATTGAAATTCTTCAGGCTATGGTAACAAGATCCCAAGCACGAGAAATCCGTCCACCCGGGGATTGAATCCATGACTCCTTGATAAAACGGTCAGAACGGCCCAACAAGTCAGTAATTTTACGATGGAGAGTACTTTCATTTATGAAAGTGAGAGCATCTGCAGTTAGTAACGACTACCAGGTACGAACATCCTTTTTGGCGCACTGTTTCTCAACCAAATTACAACGTGACATCAAATCATCCTTCAAGGGTCCAGTTTACAATGCTCCGGTACGCTCCATATTATTACACGGGTCAGAAATCTGGCCGCTGCATGCCGAGGTCATCAAAAGACTTTCAGCGTTCGCTCATCGATATCTTCAAAGCATTGCACTCAGGCAATGCTCTAGATTAGTGATGCTGAAGTACGCCGAATGGTTTTCGGAAGAAATCACTTGCCCATATTCCATAGGTTCCTCTGGCCTGGCCACGTACTCTACATGCTAGTCGACCGAATTCCTCGAAGAGCTCTTTCTGCACAACCAGTTGTAGGGTGGAAACGAGTCAGAGGAGGTCAAAAATGACTTGACAGCGAAGTATGAAAGCCATTACCAGCAAAGTCAGCTTCGCTGGTCAGTACCTTCTTCCTGGATGGGGACCCCGAGGCGGGACACATCAATGGTTAGAGACATTGTCAGACTTGGCCGTGTCACGCGCTCGATGGCACCAATGCATCCAAGCTATTACCTTCAGTGCATAGCTCCCCTCACAATCTCCCCAATACAAAGTCCACTAACAACCCTGTATTTACACATCAATTATATCAGCTACCGTCTCTAATGTGCCGCTATCTACCCTACCTTTCCAAATCATCGATGAACGAAATTGTGGCAGCTATAACCACTGTACAAGTACGCTACTCGTAGAGCTGATGATGGCGATTAAATTACAACGTTGGTTTGTATGTTTGCACTGCATTCGATATCTGGCTTTCCATCTGCTCTTGTAGCATGCGATAGGTAGCATAAATGATGTTGAAATTCCGCATGTTGACTACGGTGATACATGATAGCAGGATGATAACCGCAATATTTGCACTCTCAAATGTGTTAATGTGAACCAAATTTACGGGATTATCCTACGTATACAGATCTCAAGACATGGTCGTTCAAACAACGTTCACTTTTGTAACCAAGCCGCCCACTTTCAGCCCTCAGTTCAGCGTCGCCCTTGATCCACCTACTTTAACCCTGTTAGTAATCGTTGCTGGTCCGCAGTTGATCAAAATACAAAGCCAAAGGCAGCAAAATCCAAAACGAAAAATGTAAACATAGTTTATCTGTGAATGTATGGAATATACAGGAGTGTTGTTGATGTCTACGTAACATTCTCTACAACATCTGAATCACCAGCTTCCATTACTGCATCACCGACTCCATCTTCCCCATCGTCACGCACTACGGAGCCATCTGTTTCCGGACAATCGAGCAAATAGACTCGACACATACAGGAACCTTCAAAGAGCTGAAACGAATGGGTTCAGAACAGAAATATGGTTGTTCCATCTGTACATCATGAAAAACACCGATCTAGTTACCTCGTCAAGCGGGAGAACAAAAGTTAATCAGTAAAACTATTGTACGCAGACGTTTTGTGGTTGATTTTTGGATGTATCGGAGTCCAGCTACAAGTAAGCCACTCTGGAAGTCTTTCAAGTTACTCAAAACACACCCCAATGAACACATAGACGGTAGATTTTAGTCCGGTTGTAACTGAAACAATCTTACCTGTACTAAAAACATCTACATGCAAAGTGCTACAGTTTAACATACGAGTCAAAATGCGAATTGAATTGCAGAGTATAACTATGTAAGCTTCGTAGTTTGCTTAAAAAATATTGTCCCTTCAAATGAAATGAGTTGGTCCAAGGAATGCTTTGTATGTATGCTGACTAAGTGGTATGTGATTGGTTACAAAGTCTTGGCAATTTGCAGCTATGCTGGTTCTAGTGAGACTTCCAAGCTCGTTGTGCCTGAGATTCAACAGTTTTTGGCGTCGTGGAGGAATCGGCACCCGTTGATCTACAGTACTTAATGGACTGCACTGCGCCACCTACCTAAAGCGCCATTGAGTATTCGCCTTTTCTACCCATAGGAACGATTAACACCGAATCCGTTCGCCAACCAAAACAGGACCGATTCTGAACAGCCACAAATGTGCGGACTCAGTAAATCAGCTTATGACTTCCTAACGAGAAGTGCTCTTTTCTTGCCAGTCCCAATCGTATTGCTCATCGGATATGCTCACTCTTGGTTCTTTGGGCCTGAAGGATGTAGAAAGGATTTCGCATACTTCTCTAAAAGAAACCACCCTTTTACCTTTAAGAGGTGAAGATCTACGGCATTCCCATAATTAGTGGTAGTTGGCACATCACCTAGAAGAAGCTGTAATCCGACTGACCAGTCACCCATTATTAGGTTGAAATTAGGTCTACCGAACTCCGCTCCATATAACGAGCACCTGGGACAGTAGAACCCCAATCTACGATCTGAGGAAGCACATAATTTACGGTAGACTGTTTCTGGCGCACCTCGGTGAATCACAAAACTCTATACGCTATTTCATGCAAATGAATGGGGAGGAACTGGGTGGAGGAACGTCACATCAAGTGAATGCCATCTGCGTCCTCTGCAGAATAGAAATTTGGCTAATACAGCCATGATTGGGACGAGAGCCTACTCGTACATAGTGATGGCCTAAGTTGGTACCCTCAGATCTGTGGAAAGTCTGATTGATTCCACTGTTATTAGCACAGGAGATCTTCAGCTTTTGATAATAGGAGCGGTGGCCAATAGGCGCTGGCCATACGGCAGATATTCAGTTTCCCAAAACGGGCATGTTAAAATAAACACTTCCAATTCTACTTTCGCAAAAAGAGCAGGTGATGTGAAATTGAAAAAAAAGAACACGGAAATCCCCTTTGCTTAGACCCATTCCGTTCCAGTACAATTTTCTGTTTCGACGGTAGATAATTAGAACCGGAATGGTGTGGTGTGCACGAGGTTGTACAGCTCTTTCGTTTGACTCATTGGCCTTTGCGCTAGGGCTGATGCAGTTTTTTGTTATACCAGTTGCAATCACTTGTTATCGAGAACCATTTGGTGAAATTGTTGCCAGTACAATATGCATTGCCCCCACGAGCCGCATACGAACATGTTGGATATGACAATAAGCTCTAAAACGAACGACTTGATGAGAGGTGCGAATAATATGTGGGCTACCGTATAGCGAGAAGACAAATTCCAAACTTAGTCAACTTGATGTAAGGTATGAAAAGTGGACCTACCACAAACAAAATTGAGCGTCCGCCATTTGTGGCCAGCTTGGTGGCCGTACAAGGGAGCGATTCGACGTGCGCCGAAGTGATCAATTCTGATAGCCGTTTAGTAGGTCTACAGAAGTGGAGGATTATACGTGGTTGTGAAGTTCCAAAAAAGTGAAAGCATAGACTGCATACTAATCGATAAGAAAACGTACAAGTGACAATTACTAGATGACCACAGAGGTTCGCAAGCGGTGGATACTGGAGTAGATGAGATATCTTCGTCGCACGCAGCAAGAAGTAGTTGGACAGGAACCATGACTATGTGACTGGTACTGCTCGGTTCTTCGGTAGTTCCAGAACTGGAAGCTCTCGCAGTCTGGCGTAAAAGAAGGGTGAGGAGTTCTGGCGTGAAGAATTCGAGATCTTGAATTTCGTAGGCTCTGCGGAGAAAGCGTTCATACAAGGAACCGTTGAGTTGGAGGGGTGATCAACATGAAACGGGTGATAACGGGTCAAGGCGCAAAGTAAGCTAGATGTCCCACAATTCAATTACCATAGGATATGGAACAGTAAACTATCGACCACTCCCAGCGGTCAGGAACCTGATGTGACATCGACGATTGTAAGCCCTTATGGAGTACCTCTCTACTGAAGAAATCATTTACGGCACCTTTTGGTATCTCCGCTAACGTACAGGTATGGACAGATTAGCCCGGAGAATTGAATGGGCCACGATATTGAACAATTTATAATAGCTTACGAAGCACCTGGGTTTCATTGCAGTTCAGCCACGGTACTCGCATCGCTATGGCACCTGTGCTTTCCTGAGTGGCTCATCAGAAGATGTACTGATGAAGGGTCACTGAGAACACTACTCAACGGGTGCAGGAACTAGGAAATCAGTGGCGAGTTCCTAAAAGGCAGTGGGCCCTACGCCTCGATCCGCAGCCTTTCGGTTAGGGTTTCTGGAGGTAAGAGGTACTATAACAAAGGGCAAGTCATGATGCGAACTTCATTTGTACGAAATTTCACCAAAATGTCTAGCTCTACGATTGATGAACAGGGAAACATTCGTCCAAGGTACTCGTTTTACCATGGATCCACATAGTTATTAACTATAGAAATGACACTTGATCTTGGACACTGGGAAGAGTGGTGATCCAGTTTTCTAAGTAAGAAAACGGGATGAGGGTTCCAAGATAAAAGAAAATTACCGGGAAAACTTAAGTTCACAAAATTCGACTACCCGACTAACTCAGCTGACAAGGCAAGCGTGCGAAGCGTTAGAGGATGCATTCGGTGCAACATTCACCCTTCAGGTATTCGCCTATTTGACAAGTGATTCTCGAACGAAAAGCTGACGGCCAGAACTTCTGGGAGATGGTGCATGGTTAAATTTCTCCGTAGTCTGAAGTAGAGGATCGCGATTCCATGAATTAGAAGCATGACATTGAACCGGTAGATGGCACGCGACTGGTCGGCCGACTGGTGTCCAAAAGCCTATGCGATGGCATTATTTCGTCAGACGCTAGTTGATAACTCTCCTTCGTGTACGATGAGAAACAGACTGAGTGGAGATTCCCAAGGCTCTGACAAACGTGCGCGCTTCAGAGAGCCCTCTGAATGCATGCCAAGTTTCTTGCAATTAGCCCCTAACAGTCACCGATCTCATTGCTGTTGGCAACTTAAGACTGATCAAAGGTTACAGTGGAGGATGAGAAAACCAGAAGATTGACATGAAAGTAGAACACCTACAACGCGGTATAAAAACTTACAACTGATTCGGGTTTGGGACTGTAGGGATATCGTCAACTTCTAGACAAGCTGTTCGACCGCCGCTGTAACAAAATGAATCAAACAAAATGTTGGGAAGTTGACCATAGAAAGTTCACTTCCTCAGTTTTAAGTTGGGGTGGAGATGAACGTCCCACGTAATCCAGCGAAATGGAGGCGTAGAGAAATATGAAAACCTTCAATTTTGTGTGCATGAAATATGAGAATATATAGGAGAAATATACACAACGGGCATAACACAGTGTCGGTACATGGAAGACCAAGTTTTATCCCGATTCGGTCATCAAAGAACGATCCGTTACTTCGGCTTAGGTTGAATGACGCTGTCTCGTGGAAAGATATTATGAGCTGCCAGCGATAAATGGAAACACTTGGTGCAGTTCTATCGTTCGCCTTGCCACAAAGTCGAGTTCAGAACGACAAACGATGACGTCTACGGTTAAACCCAGGCAACAATCGTGAGGGGTGCCGAGTAAGGCACGCATGGAATACATGATTGAGAAGTAGATAATGTGGATGATGAATCAATGTCAGTCTGGGTTGGTTGAGGGCTAGGATGCCAGACACACCTAGCATGAAGGTCATACGACGGAAGTATCCAGTAAGCACACGGCCCTAGGCATAAGTCAGAGGTTTATTAAATGGAAATCATTGTCAATGATTTTGGGAGTACGGTACAGTAATACCTGTTGCCAGAGGTAATCTCCCCCAGAGGTGTCACAGTCAGAGTTTTCAAAGAGGAAAGCGTGCACGGTGTTCCTTTTACATATGAAACACCCATCTAAAAAGCATTCGAAAAAAATTCAACAATCCCACACATTTTACGCAATATATTCTCTCCTAAAGAAACCACCTGAAGTGTCGCTGTGACTCAACTGATTTTTTACAGACGTGATTCCCCAATCGGACAGGAAACACTGTACGTCTGAAATCAGGACTTTGTTTTACTCTTACACAGGGCGAAATTAGCCGGACTCTAAGCAACTAACGGATGCTAGGGCAAGACAAGTTTGGGGTTGAACGCGGCTCGCACCATCCGTTCAGTTCGCGAGATGACATTAGGGTAATTTTACTGGTGGATTATCACGAAATTGTTTTCCGGCGAAAATAGCAGAACAAGCGAAGAATTGTGAATTCATATGTATCAGAGGTGGCACACATAAATGCATCAATAAATCATTAACCAAAGATTCATATCTCCAGATGTCTCGAGATGGTTAGAGCGCGAATTTACTGACCGAAAGGTCCGTGGTTCGAACCCGACCTCTGCCTCTCGACTTTCATGCCTAGGCTTGGGCAACCTGGCAGTATCCCAGCCATCGTGCCTCTTTCGGGTGGCATGGCAGTTAGGCACCGAAAGGGTGCTACAGCTGAACGATCTATTTTATTTTCATTTCATATCTCCATAAGAATGCAAAAGGGTCATAGGAGAAAATATCCCTGGTGGATAATACCCAGCGAAAGTTTGCCCAACTTGAAGAGCGCCAAAAAGCTGAGATGGCCTGGTAATTTTCTTGGACTGTTGATACTGCACCCATTTAGCGCGAGTTAATGGGATCAAGTTAGAGTGACATGGAAACCAGGTTTTCACGTCCATTTTATATTCCGGCTTAGTTTTGATAGTAAAGACGATTATTCAGCTGTAGCATTCTTTCGGTGTCTAGCTGCCATGCCAATGGAAGGAGGCACGAGAGCTGGGATACTGCCAGGTTGCTCAAGTCCAGACAGGAACATTCAAGGAGCTGAGGCTGGGTTCTAATCACGGGCTTTCCGCTCCGTAAGCTGACGACTTAATCACTGAGCTATCTGGAGCTCCTTACGTATGAGTGGAACCTATAATAATCAATAAGGTGTACCCAAATAGAGTTTCTCAAAACGGTGGCGTGACGTGTTCGTTCATACAAATCAAACTGTTGGTTGTTTGTGTAAAATGAGCTCCATTACGGAGGCACAAGTAGTATTCCAATTGGGCTGCACATACGTGACCAATGCACACAGTGATTAACCGGTTGCTGATAGCGATAAACAGAAACGTGACAAGTGTGCGGTCTATCCCGAACTCTACTGATTTAAACGTCAGCTAGTTAGAACGTCCGGAAGTAGGTGAATACAAGTTGTTCAATTCTCCGTTTCCTAGTCTTAATATGAATGAAAAAGGTTATTATACTTATCAAAAACGGGTTGTACTCACTGTAGATTTGTCTTCGTTAGATCCAATGGAAATTCTGTCAGTAAAAGTTCCGTTCGGGTAGGCGACCAGGCGAGGTAAGTGCTCTGTCTGTTCGAATCTGTTGGGGAGTTCCGTAACTTTGAGTCACCTGTGAAAACCACAGGGAACTGAGAGCAGAAGCTCCACGCCGGATCGAAAACGCTACTTTTTTGTAACCTGGGGAGGGTGTAACACGAGAGTGAGATCACTTTGGCTGATTTGAACTACGGTTAGAAAGTGTGATCAGATACAGGAAGCCTATGAATGCTTTAGATGGTAGTGGTGATGTTGAGCAGTGCAATAGTTACATGATACGTTCATTCGAAAGCTAAGCAGATGAAGACCAACTAGGTGGGGAGCTTACAAGAATCGACAACGAAAGTATCAGGCAACTAGGCAAACAGTTGGGAGGTATGTACTAATAATGCAGTGAGAGATGGCTCAAGTGGTTAGAGCGCGAATTTACTGGCCGGAAGGTCCGTGGTTCGAACCCGACCTCTGCCTCTCGGCTTCCCCTGTCTAGGCACCGGAAAGGTACTACAGCTGAGTGAATGTAGTGATATGAGGACGACGCCGGATGCAAGGAAAGCGGAAATGCTGTGGCAGTGTATGTTCCGAAGTCAGTAAAATGTGACTACCTGAGAAAGACGTGCGAGACGACTTCTTTATGAACAGGTCCTTGGAAAAATTCAGTAGGCATGTAGGGAACACAGTAACTCCAACCAAAACCCTTGTGTTTGATCAACTTGGCGTTTCGGACTTGGAACACATGACTTGGAATGACTATTATCCGGGCAAAGGAACAAACAACACGCGACGTCTAGGGTCAAAAAAAGGAGGAAACCGTAACCACAAACCGAAAAGTTGGAAGGTCCATGGTAGTAAACAAAAAACACCAGACCTAGGTTGTTGGTTTACTCACTAGGATTCGCGAATGGATTGATCCAATTGAGGAGCTTCACGAACACAGCAACAACCGAGCAACGTACCCTAGCTACCTATGCTCCACATGTTTTCAAACATCCGGAATATCACTGGGTTCTGTCTTGCGCCATATCCTGAAAGGCATCTAGCAGCAAGTAGTCGCTACATCTTTTACTCAGAGGTCGAGCTGACAAGGATGCCATCTTTTTCACGCTGTTGAATGATGTTTTTACCGGTTCATTACTAGTAATACGAAGAGTGCACACCTTTGTTGTCATCACCAGGGCATTCTCGAGATGTGACCTATCATCGAAGGTGATGTACAGAAACAACTCGCTGAAGTTCAGCTCCGCTGTCATAGCATTTACTTTCACAATGCTCCAGACAAACGCGTGGGATGATCCGTAGGTAGTGGCCAACATGCACACGGGTGTTGCACATCAGCCGCAAGAGGTAGCCGGCTTCAACGCCCAACCGACACACAATATACCAAATAGAAAAATACTGTCGCGCCGTCGCTGGAGTCGGAAAGCAGGACCTCTAGTGCTATACGGCAAGCTATTTCGATTCAATGTCACCTGTGCGGCAGGTCACGGTGTGCAGTCGGTCGCCCGCAAAGATCCGCGACGGCAAAACGGAGAACGGAAAAAGGAGTATATCCAGTAGATACCGCTGGTGACCAGAAAGGTTGAGAAAAGCTGGTCACTGACCCAAATGTGACTCAATGAACGTTCACACAGCATTCCCCAAGATGCTTATCAACTATTTCAGCGCCCCGGTTGGGCAGTCTCACAAAGCACACCAAGTAACCTGATCGAAGGTAGCCCTGATGTCAGGAACTTCAGTAGTCAGCCGTTGGTAGATTCAGCGATATCCCAACAGGTGTCTGTGAGTAAAAATCTGGTCGGCAATCACGGCGACTGTGAAAATCGTCCATTTTATTGCGGTACATTAAATCGCCAGTGGCAGTCAGTCTGCGTATGACGATATCTGCGAGTACCTCTGATATTCTTCCATGTCTCAAACACTACGTTCGTTGGACTTTTTAAAACCACGGATAAAGTGGTTCGCGATGTGGAAGCATATTACCGAATATATCGTCTGAGTCAGAGTGCTCCACGATTCTTCTATTGGAGGTCGATCGGTCTACACGATCTACTTGGAATGGAATATCAAAAGACAATGAAACATTTTCCCAAGTCTGTTTTAGGCGCGACTCAGTTACAGAGTTAATAAGAAACAGAAAATTCATCCCGAGCATATCGAGCAACGGAGGCTTCAATCGTCACCAGAAACCCACCAACAGTTAGCTGCAACTCCTAGATAGGACGAGCTAACGACAGTTAAAGGCAAACCGGCAGTACGTAGTGTTTGGTGTTAGGCAGCATTTAATTTGTCGTAGTCCCAAAGACATCGTGCATTGGGTAGTAAGCGTAAACCTGTTTTGTAGTCAGGACATCTCTAATCAAAGTAAACATGGTACAGCAGGTTAGTTTTTGGTCTATATTGCGATAATACCGGGAATACGAGCATGCACACATTACCTTCTAGTTAGGCATCAACTTCGGTGCATGCTTCCAGCTACCGAAAAGGCTATACAGGATAATGAACCCATTACACATAGGTATCCTGAGAGAAAATATCAACTTCAGTAGGGCAGTGAAGCAGCGGTGTTGAACACTGAAGCCATGATGTCGATGATGACCATAATATAGCTTTCCCCATCTGCCCAGTCTGCTACGCCAGAGGTGAGCGATGTGGATAAGAATGTTGTGAAAGGGTTACGGGAAGAAAACTCACTGTTCACAGCAGAGCAACTGAGAGACTGACTCCGCGAATCCGAAGCAGGCACGATCAAAATCGCCTGCCTGAAAGAAAGAACGGACTCGAGAAAATCAGCAAGCAATATGAACACGTCATCAATGCTGACAGTAGAGTTGAAGCGCGTCCTTCAACAGTGATTCATACAACCATACCAGGTCATTTGAAGAAATCTCCAGGTGTGTGAAGAAGACAAAGACTGCAGGAGGGGAGCGACAAGATCCTAGGATAGTGTATACATTAGAGGAGCCTGCATCTCCAACGCACGGTCGGGAGATTAGGATAGAAACTGGCAAAATGAACGCCATTGATTTCAGTTTTCCACCGTAACTTACAGCGTCTCTAGCCAAGTACAAGGAGAGTTATTTGGATCCCAGTCTGGAAGGTAGGCCACACTTACAGCACCTAAAATAAGCAACTGATAGGAGTAAAGAAGGCGCATGGGAATGAGCCAAGCAGAGGTGAGCTGGTGAGCTAAGATTGTATTAATGACCGTCTCTACAAATTCAAGACCAATTTGCTAGTGAATACCCTCTTGAATATGGTCACAGTAGTATAGTAATAGAGCGTTTATATGGCAGCTAACACGTAGCTAACACTCGGTAAGCCTGTGTTAGCAAGCAAACAAGGAACTTTTTAGATAAGAATAAGCAACCTTAGGCTGGAAAATAGGTACAATGGGGTTGTCTTGCGTCGCGAGAGCCAACCGTAAAATTCGAAAGAGCTCACAGATCGACCAAAAGTTTCAAAGATCGAGACCATCCATGAGACATTGAACGCGGTATAGATATTAGTCTGGCACAAAGTAGCGTTGTGCCGGTTGCATAAATACATAAATGTGGTCAGAGCCGAGTGGAAGAATGGTGCTACACAAGCGTTGCATGAATGTGTACCGACACCAAGTTTTAATTAAGGTTTTTAGGATTAGGGGGAGAGTGTGGCTGTCCTGATCAAGCTATCAGCACCATGGCGTTCATTCTGTGACTGTGTAAAGCCACTTCGTTCCGTACGTAAAAGGAGGGTTCGGTAGATGCCAGCAAAACCGCAACGTTGTTGGTCCAGAAAGCGAGATAAGAAAAAAACGGAGGCCACTTACCACTGGAGGACCGAACAGGGCTGTAATGTCATCTTCCAACGTGTGCATGATCAGATCTGCCAGTGTTGCCTTCGGACAGTAGTGGAACAGACCAGCTGTGAGATGGACAAGAACACTTTGTGACGGGATGCTAGATGACAAGAGGGTATGTTTGTACAGTTGCAATCTCCTAAAACAGCAATCCTCGTTAATCACACTCCTTGCTGTGTCTGTTAAATGGGAATAAGAATGCGTAGGGAAGCCGGCGCTTTGTAATGCAACCGTACAGAGTCAAGTGGGAAGTCACTCATTTGGAGAAAGATGGCATCGGATGAGTGACAGCCGGATAACACGTTGAATTATGCCCTGTCCACCACACTGAAAAGTCGAGGTACTCACCGAGCAATTCAGGTCCAAATGGGATATGGGTTAAAGATGGACCGAGTCGGTGGCATTGGAACAACCTTTTTTTTGAAAAAAAATCAACCAGTGGATGCACCCGATCCGAACAATGAACGGGTTGGACGGTAACCTCGTGTGGCATCTTTTGCAGGGCTTGGGAATAATACTTGGCTGGAGAACTGGTATCGCATCGTGTTGCAGACGAAATAAATGCTGGCCATTTGAAATTCTCCCGAGGACATTGTAAAAAGAATGATGTCTGGGGGTTGTGAGACAAGCAGAATCCTGTTCCACTTACAATAGCATCAGAATGAATTGTCCTGATTGCATACAATTTGAGTTCAATTTCAGGAACATTGTGTAGAGATGTACAGTGCAGTTGGTTTAGTCGAGTTTATCAGCTATAAACCATGTACCAAGGATACGTTGATTCGAGCTGATACAGCTTCGACCACCGGAAAATGGGACAGCGTGGAAGACAGCACTCATTGGAGGCGATAAAATGACTAATTAGTTCGGAAAACTGAGCAGCTATGCATTGACGGCAATAGATTTGATGCACGAACACCACTTATTGCACCTGCCAGTGCCTCTAAACACTCGTGAGTTAAATCCAGGAGTCCTCATCCGGGGACACGGCAGTTGTCAACTCAACTGAGTATATTGGGTGTTGTTTTCTATACTTCATTTCCAGATCAAGATGGTCCACCCCTCGGTTCACCTAGCTTCCACTGGACCCAGAGCCGGTAAAAAAACTCTGTGAAACGGACGCTCCTCCGGCATGTGTAGTACACATCCTAATCAGTGCAGGCCAATTCAGTTTCACGAATGCGGTGATCCAGAACAACATTCATAATTTCATGAAGCAGATACATTTGCTCATTCCTAAACAGATAGCACACTAAAACCAGGGAAGCAAGATGAATGCAAGATGGAGTGCAACCATCTAGATCCTCACTCAATTCTGGAACAACCTTCGGAAAACCCTATCGTGTAACACACTTGGTCGCAGGTGATTCCTAACCCCCAATGCATGTGACTTCTTTCAGTGTCCTTCATCGGGACAGGCTAAATGCAACATCGAACAAGCAGGTGCCTGCGTGAATCAGGTCAGAAGGGAAAAGTTTGATCTGAATCTTCCCAGCCAAGTTGATTTCAGGCTTGAATATGGCAAATAGTCCCAAGTAGTTGGCAACTAACAACTTGTCAGTTTTCTTGTAGAACTGCTCAAGGAATGGTCGGGTTTCATATCGAATCCATTGTTGTCTATTTTGGCAACATATATGTGGTGCAGTTGTTTTGCAACGAACGTGAGACAATAAAATGGTGCAACAAGCCAATTAGAAACTCAGGCACTATGAGAAAAAGTGGCACCGGACGAACCGACTCTTTGAGCAGATGACACTGTCCAATAGCAGTATCACAAATAACAATCGCGAGCCCAGTATTTCACATACATGCATTTTCAAAGGAAGGCGAAGACAGGTGTGCTATGTACATTCGTGTGACCATGTGGTCCTTGGTCTCCTACACAGAAGGCTCATGAACAGCGGGAGACTTAAATCGATGACATTCACGACTACAAAACAGTACACCTATTAGCATACATCAATAAATAAACTGTGATCAATCAGTGAATTTTAACAATTGATGAGTGATGAAAAAAATTGAAGATACGTGAGAGATGTTAGATACTTGCTTATGATGACAAAGTTGATCGTCTTTTACTGCGTTACAGTTCCCAAACTGGTAATCTACGTAATCTAATATACAGGTGGCGGGGATGGCTATGTAATCAAGGGGAAACCAACTTGGAAACCTGCCGCTTTTCAGTTGTTCTTCCGACAAACAGATCAAAGTACGCATGTGGGAGCGGCTCCGGTCTTCATTCAGGCTGTGTGCAGAGACCGCCTCGAGCGGTTTTCGAACTTCCCCTGAACGAATGTACTGAAAGTGTTTGAAAAGCGGAGTCAAGCGCATGTTAGTACATAGAAAATCATAGACTACATAAAATTCTCAGAACAGTACTTACGGATTGGTTAGAAATATGTGGTTTGGTAGAAAACCGCGAACGTGAGTTTGTCTAGAAAGGAGCTCAGTTACCTCTCTCTAAACTTATTTTTTGGAATCCACCAGGTGTTCGTGTCACTAGTTTCCACGACTGACTACAAAACATGTGTACACCGAAACGCTTGTGGTATTGGACGGAGTGCATCCCGCTAACCTAACCCGCCAACCTTACTTGGTCCAAGAGCCTGGATTGCTTGATAAACCTGGTTCGAAGTTCGCCATCGAAGTGATCTTATTCAGGACCACTTGCACTTTTCTGTTCCACTTTTCGTGACAAGCTGTACAGCACAACACTGATAACTCAGCCGAATAACGGCTACAGGCTTCATCCGGGCGCTTGACTGACCAGGTAGCTTCGCATGGAATCATGCAGACAAGCTAAACTTCGTGTGTCTCGACTCGGTCTTTGTCCCAGAACTTTATACAAGTCATCAGTAAAAGATCATAACTGACCATCAGCCAGAGTGTGCAAAGCTACAGGCGGCATATGCATGATGACGAACTGCTCATGAGGTAGAGAAACGGATCATCACCGTCATCAGACACAACAACTTCAGTGTTGACACTGGTGCTTCACAGTCATTCAATGACAGAGTTTACTGAGTTGTTTCAGGTGCAGATAGGACATCATGCTAATCTACCGCAAGCATTCTGAAGCGTTTACACATTCAAACGCTCGGACAATCTGCGAAGAGATACGAATGGGAGATAAAATCGATTGGCTATTAATCACCTGGTTCCCATACTTTGCAAATCATTGTGTCGAACGTTAAGGGAGGATAGCGAAACGTGGAGTCTGCGGGGGCATCCACTGCCCCGAATTGATGTAGAAATGGATGCCTAGACAATCTGTGATAGTTCGCATTCAAATCATTCTGGTTTGAACGGTTCAGAACCAGAGTGACTCGAACGTGAATTCTACACATCACGCAACTACCCGTACACCTAATCCGTGAAAAATCACCTTGGAAACATCGAAAGATGGTGGGAGCTACTACAATAGTTACTAAGCTCAGAGAGCATTAAACTAACCAGTTCCCAACAAAAGAAACTAGTAACAAAGAGACAATTGTGAAAATTCTAAAAAAATTTATCCTGAAATGTTTGCAGACTAAAGAGTCGATTTTGGTTAGGCACGGGGGCCAGTTTCCATCGCTCCGATCTGGATCATTAGGGAGAAGAAATTCGAATGGCGAAAGGAACTTGCCCGCAGTTACTACTAAAGTAGTCTGCGAAACACCGGATAAACCGATTAGAACAGCAAACGGGAAGCATCGTCAAGCGATCGGTGAAACCCAGGAAAACGGAAAATCCAATAAACTAATGTGAGCCTACAACCCTTTTCTGTGGAGAAAAACAAGTTTCGTGAAAAAAATTGGAAGCATGTGCTTTCCTTTGAGACGTTGTAGCCCGAGAGGGCACCCCAGGCCGTGTGAATAACAATAACCCTGTGGAGATTTCTTCCTGTAAGTGAAGCAAATAAATGATGAAAAGCCAAGAAGCACTGTACAGCTTTTTAATCCTTATTGGGAATCATCAGCAGTGTGCATCTCACGAAACTCCGAAGAGTCTCGAACCCGCGACCTCCTGGAGTTTCGTGAGATGCGCACTACTGATGATTCCCAATAAGGATGAAACAGCTGTACTGTGCTTCTCCCCTTTTCAGCATAGATTGGCTCCACTTACAGGACGAAATCTCCACAAAAATCCCAAATCTCCTCACACTACCAACAAACAATAACCCTGTTGAGTGGTGCTACACCTTGTTTAATTGATAGTTAAGTACAGCCGATCAAGTGTACCGGTCTGAAATTCAAAGGATTCAACTCATTCATGGAATGCTGAGGGTGCGCATACCCTACAGGATTTCATGAAAAGTGCTGCTGACTGTTCTCAGCTCTGTACAGACCGACTTGGTTGGGTGATACAATACACAAGGTTGAAACAAAACAAGACAGACAGAGCAAGCATTGTCCAAACTCACTTGTTCCACCAGATCAACGCTGAAACTTTGCAGTGATCCCTGAACAAAAATTGGCTGAAGATAATTGGTTATGAAGTCGATAACTAGTTCTCGCTCGGCCGGAGTGACCTGAGGGGAGATGGAAACGATTGGTGTAGTTTTCATGATGGAGTTGCTGAAATAGGACTATACTGACAAGATGAGTAGACTTTGAAAAAAGAACGCGTATTGAACAGGAGTTCTTTGGCTCTTGATGCCAGGAACTCTCTCTATCAAGCACTTGATATTAGCTGTGTTAACGTCCCATTCAGAATGCGGGCAACTGTTTGTAGTGAAATGATGTTTGAAATTTTAAAAAGGTGGACAGTAACGCGTGAGGCTTACAGGGCAAACCTGTCTATAAAAGCTTGAGGTGGATTCATCCCGAACTACGCAGCCGCAGATCCTAATCCTATGACAGGAAAGAATGAAGTTATACAAAGCAAAGAACGATGTGACAAGACAATAGAAGCATTGTGTCAGGTTGTGCAAGCTTGAGTGGTGCTACACCTTGTTTAATTGATAGTTAAGTACAGCCGATCAAGTGTACCGGTCTGAAATTCAAAGGATTCAACTCATTCATGGAATGCTGAGGGTGCGCATACCCTACAGGATTTCATGAAAAGTGCTGCTGACTGTTCTCAGCTCTGTACAGACCGACTTGGTTGGGTGATACAATACACAAGGTTGAAACAAAACAAGACAGACAGAGCAAGCATTGTCCAAACTCACTTGTTCCACCAGATCAACGCTGAAACTTTGCAGTGATCCCTGAACAAAAATTGGCTGAAGATAATTGGTTATGAAGTCGATAACTAGTTCTCGCTCGGCCGGAGTGACCTGAGGGGAGATGGAAACGATTGGTGTAGTTTTCATGATGGAGTTGCTGAAATAGGACTATACTGACAAGATGAGTAGACTTTGAAAAAAGAACGCGTATTGAACAGGAGTTCTTTGGCTCTTGATGCCAGGAACTCTCTCTATCAAGCACTTGATATTAGCTGTGTTAACGTCCCATTCAGAATGCGGGCAACTGTTTGTAGTGAAATGATGTTTGAAATTTTAAAAAGGTGGACAGTAACGCGTGAGGCTTACAGGGCAAACCTGTCTATAAAAGCTTGAGGTGGATTCATCCCGAACTACGCAGCCGCAGATCCTAATCCTATGACAGGAAAGAATGAAGTTATACAAAGCAAAGAACGATGTGACAAGACAATAGAAGCATTGTGTCAGGTTGTGCAAGCTGGTGACATTCATACTAGCCTTAATGTTGGTGATGTTGAGTGGTTTAACTTCAACGAGGATGCAAACTGAACTGACCATCCACTTCATCAATGCAGTGATACTACCGTCCTTTATAAGTGGAATGTGTAATTTATTCTGGAACTGGAGAAGTTGAAGGGTCGATTAATATCAGAGATAACGAGAACCAGTTGAGTTACTTGTGAGAGTTGCGTGGCCCAATGTACGCGGGACAAAAGCAGCCTGCCGAGTACTGAGTACTCAGTGACGAACTCCAAATAAGGGAGGTTTGCCTATGACCAAGTATATGGGTGAACTTCACGAAACATAAGGAAACGACCTGCTGACAACAGCACCGAAGGTTATTGGATTGAGCTTTGCACGGAGTGGTTGGATGTGCAACTCTTCGAATTTTCACTGAGAATATGACTGTGCGAGTTAACGCGTCAGACAAAGCCAAAAAATACTTGAATTATCGTTGCTCGAAAACCTACAGCGACCAATACTACTACGTGAAATATCAGGAATTCGGTCGTAACTCAAACCGAGTTGGATTGAACGAACACTTCCGAAACATTGTGCTAGCTTGGAACTAGTCAATTTCTTACCTTAATGAGTATGTACGAAAAGGGGAAAGAATTAATTCCGAAGGATGCACCATTAGTGAAAACAGGCTTCTACGGGCAACGAAAAAACGCGATACCGATAAACTTACCCGCGGAAAATCGTCCGGGAGCACACGTCCTGACAAGCCGAGAATAGCTATCGTGCGACAAAAGGAAGGAGATGAGCAGAACTGATGTTAGTGGAAACATGGGCGAGAGAAAAACCTTAGACACACATCGAAGCCAAACACTTGGGGGCAACATCTGAGTCGGATGAACAGAGCTAAATTGGGAGAAAGTCTGAAGTCAAAGCTGATACCCAAAAGGATGTACCGAAAACACGTAGGGCAGGAATGTCCAAACTGTGTAATCTTGACCGTTCCGCCCCACGAACACCGACTGACGTGATGGTACTGAATTCGACCGACCTGGCGACGTATTATTTTGAAGTTCAGTCAACTTTTTTAGTTTAGAAAAACAACGACAAGCGCCCAAATCATTGTGTTCCCACTCCAATCTCGCTGTTGGTCAGGCACGCAAGCCCACATTTCATAAAAACACTGAGCTAAATGGTCCATGTGCTGAAGTGTGCAAGGCAATCGCATAGTCCGAACAAAAGTACCAGCATGTCAGTGTTGCACCCGGGGTATCCAAACGTCAAACATGTTGTTATTGTTGTTCTACTCGAGTCCCAGTATCCTCGCATCTAAGTGGTGTTCAAACGGACTGGCCTTGCGGTCGATAAGCATTGTCAAGGGACGTAGCGGCATCAACAGCCACTGACTGAGCAAGGTGTCAGCAACCAATAATTTGAACACAGCGTGTTTGGATGATTTCCAAGGACTTACCAACATAGAGCCATTTGAAGAATGCGCGTAAGTGAGTGATACTCTTCTCGATAACTCTAAAACGAAAAAGGAATTTCATATATCAAAACGGTGGGATAAACGTGTAGGTTGAACAGCTGAAGCCACATTTTTGGAGCTAAATGGAAGTAGATGGCGGTGTGACGCGAAAACTACTTTGCTGATAACGTTTTTCGACCCCTTCAGAGCAGGAGACCTAAACACAGTTTCACTAAATGCATCCCGTACACGTTCATATAACATGCCCGTGGGTGATCTTATGGAATTAAATTTGCCTAGCCATCGAGGAGCGACAATTGAATCCTATGTACCTGGAGGGAGTACAACCATTTTCTAGAAGGGCCTATCGGGGGCGCATAGTGATTCAAAGCCTTCAACACTATCTCCTCTGGTGCATCCGAAAACGATACGCATCGGCAAGCAAAACACTGAGAAGAAACGAAGCAAACTTACAAATGCAGCTCCTGCGATTTTTGCAGAACGCAACCGATTGTACCACACAGACGTGAGGCCTGCTTTAAGGATACACCGAATTTGGCGTACGACTGCGTATCACGCAAGTTGCCCAACAGTTCAGAAGTATGGAACAGTAGTCTTTGAAGGATCCTGATTGAAGACGAAGAACACGATGAAAAATGACAAAAAAGAGACCGATCGGAGTGGTGTTATTTGCATCGTTCGTTGAACAAAATTACATGGGACGCAAAACAAAGACGGTTGTGCTACTGAATTCCACTCAGTAAGTCATGATGTACACTTGGCACACACGTCATTTGTATCGTGAAGATAATGATAGGTCGCTCAGGATTGAACAAAAGCAAACCCTTCACACTGTTTTATTTGTGAGCCTCAACAAAGTTCGGGTTACGACAAAAGCTGAAGGTAATCCTGAGGGACAACTAAAAACTCTAGCATGGAGTTGAACTTCAAACATTGGGAGCTACATTTGTCAGTACAGGCTACAAAGGATGCCAACTTTTCAGTAATGAGGTAGCAGAGGCGACCTATGCTCAAGAGCCAGAGGTGCAGCACAACCTTGACATTCATACTGTGAATCATTCCTTCAGGAATCGGGGAGAGATTGTAATCCACAACTTTTCGGGTAACAATAAGACACTCCACTATCCCTCTACGTGATTGGCTAGAACGTACGACACGATTGAACAACACCCACGGTTCAGTCACTCAAACTCGAACCATATGACCTGATGTTGACTAATTCAATGGTTGCCGACTCAGTGCAACTCTGACTGATTCAGTCCATGGCTGCTCGACAGTACAGAGAAGTGCATTGTCTCAGATAATAGGATACAGCATTTTCCAATTATATTTTCAATGATGAAAGTCGGTTGCATGCAAATATCAAGCTACTGAGGAGATAAAAAAGATAAAGATAAAGCGTTCAGCTGTAGCCCCCTTCCGGTGCCTAGCTGCCATGCCACCCGAAGGAAGCACGAGGGCTGGGATACTGCCAGGTTGCCCAAGCCTAGACAGGGGAAGTCGAGTGGCGGAGGTCGGATTCGAACCGCGGACCTTCAGGTTAGTAATCCGCGCTCTAACCACTTCGGCCATCTCGCCCAAGCTACTGAGGAATCCCTTGAGTAACACCTGGATAACTCAAGTTCCCTAGCCGCGTTGCGTAATCCAATCTGTCGTGATTGAGTTAAATCCACTTGTAAAGCAACATAGGGTTGACTGTTAAGAGTCTAAACTAACTGTCTCACACAGTTTCGTCCCTTGCTCCGTCTCATTCGAACTACGAGTGGGCCTTATTTACTGCGAGTTCTTATAGTCCAGCACATTGCTACGATAGGCGAATGGGCGTCAATGGGGCATCAAGGAAGAATCTTGTTAGTTCCCGGTGTAGCCTGTATCGCATACAAAGGCCGGATAATATTGGAAGTCTTTTTTCCTTAATTATCTGTAGTAAGTGTCTTGGAGGAGAATCTGTCACCCAATCACGTTAATCGTGAAAACAAGACATCTTTGGACGCTCCACAGAAGGTCCAAGCAACCAGAACGAAACAACCAAACACCGGAGGAAGAATGAACTTCGGATAACGAAGAACAGTGAGACCGAAACTCACAGCTGCAATTGTTGAAAGCAAATAGTCTTGATGGATTCGTATGCTTTCAGTGTCGCAGTACCAGTGCGCTTCAAGCTCGGAGCGGTCCAATCTTCCACCAAGAATTTCCGGAGAGAAGTACTGCACCAAAATAGACAGAGTTCAAGGAAGTGACCTACGGACAATTCCCAAATAAGATGAATTCCAACAATTCCACACCAAGGGACCATTTCTGAAAAAAAGGAATGAAGTGGAAAAGTAGATGTAGTATAATGTACTAAAACAGTAGGGCGGGATATTACTTACCAAAATCACACAGTTACACTCACCTTGTTGCGAGACAGTCGTTCTTTGGCATAGTTTGTAAACTTGACGTCCATTTCTAAGATCATATCTTCCCACGAGGTGCAGATCTGATCGAAGCCTTTATCCAGCAACTAAAGTGATGAGAAGGTGAATGAACTAATAATAATGGTATCAGTAACAAGATAAGGATGAACAGATCCTTCAAAATGTGGGTAGATTAAGGTCGTTTTATACAAATAAAAAATAAATCGTTTAGCTGTAACATCTTTTCGGTGCCTGGCTGCCATGTCACCCGAAGGAAGCACGAGGGATGGGATACTGCCAAGTTGCCCAAGTCTAGACAGGGGAAGTCGAGATGCAGACGTCGGGTTCGAACCATGGACCTTTCGGTCAGTAAATTCGCTTTCTGACCACCGTCAGACCAAAAGCAGTCTGAGGCCAAGGAAGCCTGGTTAATTTTCAACGGCAGTATCACCATTGTTCTACGCCGAGGCTATCCATCTACCGCCCGTTACTCCTAAAAATTCAGTTCCCAGTGCCCAAAAAGGCACTTTTACACCCGAGTACGATATAGAATAAGCAGAGGTCATATTTTGACCGACAGGATGAAAAATGACTCTTAATAATGAGCTTAGCTTTTCAGATATGCGGTTGCTGTCACGATATCGTGAGGCATGTTTGATTCAAAGGCCGATCTGCTGCAACAGTCACAAGACAGCTTTCGATATACATGCTGCTTGGCCGTGATTAACGAACGGTGCCGCCATGAGCACTCTGGGTGCACCAATCGTAGCAGGTATTCGTATTATTGGAAAGCTACGGAAATCCACCGCGAATCAGGTGGTGCTGTTGGTGCTACATTCGCAGTCAGGCAATGAGTTTTCCAGTGGTCTATTGGTGTCACTCAGCCCCCTACACAATGGCACATGTTCCACCTTTGAAGCTGAAAGCTCCAAGTGACCTTTGAGTTTCTCAGACTGCCTTGTCACAAGCAACTTCGGTTTTGTGATGTCTGTGTATCGTAAGTTAAGTCATGCCGGACGATATTTCGATTACTTGTCATACCGTCCAGTGAATAGAAGGGGAACTGTTGTGGAGTCACTGACGAACAGAGCGAACATAGTCTGCTCTGTGGACGTCTTGAGAGCTAAGAAAATTCTCAAAAGATGATACACTAAAACGACCAGCAGTAGGTCTCATGGAGAAGGCAACAGATGATACACAAAGGAAACAACACCTCCAAGCCAGGACCGTTTTATCGACTGTGCAGATTACCTACCGTCAGCAGATTTTCAAAAAGATTCGTCGGGTTTCAGCTGATTTCAACATATGCACTTTAAGGATCAAGTTTCCCCGGGGAATCAAACTCGCTGTGCGTCCAAGATTTCCTTGGGGCACTGCAATAGTACGCATACGGGCGAATCTATTAGGCAACTGAGAGTGTGCGTTGCAGAACACAAGAGATTTGCTCGTCTTCCGCCTCAGAGCGCTTCTAGATATAAGAGCTAAAAGATCCGGCCATCGCTCTGCACGTTCCAGCAGAGAACCATGACGCCTTATTTGATCAAGCTTAACGAATTTGAAAACAGATTTAGGTATGCACAGAACATCCTGTGTGAACCCTTTGGTGGAGTCAGCCGTTTATCCATCTCAGCTGTTTTGTTGGGGCCAATCAATATGTAGACTAACCAGACACGTGATGCGTTGAAGTCAGCAGCAAACTGCAGGGGTGAGCGTACCCCCTTCACATGCCTTTAACCTCCAGGTAATGATAGTTTTCAGTTCGATTTCACTCACTTGTTTTTGCGTAATCCTAATTATTCCACTCCTGAAGGTGGCCTATCGTGTCCGCAACGTCGAACAATAAACCTCGGTTACCGAATTTTGTGTCACCCCATGATAATCCAACCAAACTGTCCACACATAAATCTTGACTTCATCGCATCGAATTCTGTGCGAATATTCCCAAACGGATCAACAACACCCACAAAACTTACCGTTTTGGATATTCGGATGAGAGAATGATGCATTGAAAGATTTCGTAACTGGGTGCCAAAAGTCACTAACCCAGTGGTTGGAACCTGTTGGGTTGTATAACCACTAAAAGTGTTCAGGATCACCCACCCACTGCAGCTCCATAAAAGACCGCCCAGTCGTGTCTTCCGTCCAACTGTACAGGATGAGGAGATATTTCAGGCAAGCAGAAAACTGACAGCCTAGAAACTGAAAGGTAATTCGCCGTCAACAGGAGCGGAATATTAACCTTAAATTGGAGTTCGGTGGAAAGCAGATTTGGCTTGCAAGCCCACCGAGCAATTAGGAAAGAGTCTGATCCGTAAAAGTTCAATACACCGGCACAATAGACTGTGAGGATGAAAAAACTGACACATCAATCGACGACGTTGAATGAACACCTACTGCTCTTCCGAATCTGCCAAAAGTTGTGAAAGTTTGAAAGTATCACTGGTATTGAAATTGACATCCCTGTGCAGGAAATTATGAACCCACCGAAAAGATGTGACTTACGACTGGAACATAGTTAGGGAACTGAGGTCTGGAAAATAGATATGAGCGTTGGATCCCTTTCCGTCCTGTTTCGTCAGCAGCCCAGCAGTCCAGTTCAAATAGGTTATCGATGTAGCATACTCGAACTCTTTGTAGACGAAACCATCATTGGCCAAAATCAACCGGACATGGCCGGAGTCATATGCAACGGCCAGACATTTGCCATCCGGTCGCCAGACAACACAATTAACGACAGAATTCTGATGCGGGGGCGATAATTCCCAAATGCATGCCAACTTGTACCTGATTTGGATAAAGAAAGAATGGACGTTCACTCCAGTGAAGATTAGAACCAAATGAGTCCGATTAAAATCCGTGATTCGAATTAACGCCCTGATGATTTCATGGCTTCCGCCTAGACTTGGTCAACTTCGCTGCAAGGCGAATTATCTTTGAATGGGCGCTGCCGATAAACACTTTATGCCAGTGTGCTTACCGGATCTAGTTCAAAAACAATCAGAAAGGTTTGGTTAATGACTAAGTGTGTGCGAAAGGATGCAACAGAAGGAGATTTTTCAGTTGTTGGATGCTTTCGTTCCACAGCTGTCAGATAACACCAAGGAAGCAAAAGGGGCGGGACATTACCAGGATTCTCAGGCCTGACTAACGACAGAAAGCCGAGAATGCGGACCACCAGGTTAGTGACTATCGATTAGGATATGCGCCATGTAGTGGTTGGCCGGAGTGTCAAGTATCTCCGGTCGCTTAATACATGAATATATATATANATATATATATATGAATAAAGAATCTGGCTCTGGGTGCAGAAGGCAGAAACAGCGTCATACAAAAAAGGATGACACTTGATGGGAAAACCGTTTGTGACAACAGAATAAGTAGGAACAATAACCAGGGGAATTCAGCCACCAATCCACAGACAAGCTGGCTGTAATTTATAAATTGTTACACGAAGGTTCTGAACATTATGTAGGTCCCCGGGTTGCGTTCTTGGGACTTTATCTCACGTTCTATTATCGCGGTGGTGGATACCGGTCATCACAGCTTTTACTAGGCGGGAAACACATCAAGCATGTTAAAACATCAAATAACAGTGACAAACCTGTGCACTGAAACTCGGCCATTAAGCGATCCCAAAGCAATCAGATCTGTCCTTGGTGACCAGCAACAGTGGCTGACCTTGTTTTTTAAATAATGCTTTGCCTCCACAGGGCAGTACGAATATTCTCCGACCATGGGAATAGTTTACAACCTGAAATATTAAGAGTCAACTTGAGTAACTGTATACAGAACAGTACCAACGAAATCGCAATGCTAGGTTCCGAAAGTGACCCGATGGCCTAACATTCGAGAGAACGATCAACAACAGTGAATGAAAACCACAAATAATTCATATCCAGTGTTCAGGTGAACGTCAATTTTTAAGAACTGAGTCGATTAATTATTCGCATCGATGAGAATCTCCAACTAGACAGGTCCATCAAACTTATGCTTTAGTTGAACCCAAATTTGACTGATTGCGACAAATACACTCATTTGCAAGTCAATTTGGTTTTCATGGGAGACTCAAATGAATCTCTCGTTTATAATGTTCTTCAGCTGAATGTGCTGCACACAGCTCGCCTCATGCTTCAATTGGTACGGAAATTCAGGGACTGCGCCTACCTGATGAGTCCCGAGAAGGGCGAAACCGGTCGCGGGCTGTCGAAGGGTTTTCAGCAACCTCGCGAGTAGTTGCCTCTACGTAAATGTACTGCGGTACCTCGAATATCGTACCAAATTAAACACGAGGCCTGTGTGCAGCACATTCAGCTGAAGAACATAAACATCATAAAGGAGAGATTCACCTAAGTCTCCAATGAAAACCACATCGATTTGTAAATGAGTGCATTTGTTGCAAGACCACTAATAGTTTATCTCGTCCTCCGGTTTCACATATATGAGCACCCCGATCCTTTCAGCAAAGGATGTCTTAGAAATTCACAGAACGTTGTTCGGCCCATCCTTAGCTCATTTTCCAGCAGGTGGAAATGGACGATGAAAACCGTCACGTTTATCCCTCTGCAGCACTGCGCAATCGCATACTTGGTACTGATGAAGCCCATAATAATAATTGTTATACTAACAATAAAAAATAATTGTTTAGCTGTAAAACCTTTTCGGTGCCTAACTCCCATGCCACCAGAAGAAAGTACGAGAGCTGGGATACTTCCAGGTTACCCAAGACTAGACAGAGGAAGTCGAAAGGCGGAGGCCGGATTCGAAACACGGACCCTCCGGTCAGTAAAATTCCGGCCTAACCACTGAGCCATCTCGCCCCATGCTACCTCTTTTTAAGGAATTTATAACTCCTCCTTCCACAATGCAGACGCCCCCCATTGTCATGATGTTCTAGAATATAAAGGTAAATGTTTTGAATGCCTAACGCTTTGTTACCACTGCGACCGCCGCGTGAACACAGTTTCCCAACCTAGAGTTACCAGCTAGGACGTAGGCAGTTTACGGAGGGACGGAGAAGTTCACCCCATTGGGGATCTTTGAGGGGTATGTGGTTCGAGGAGACCAAAATGCCCCGTTGGTGGCTTGTCATGATTTCTGCAAAGTGATTTTGCAGCATTTACGTTACAGCACACCCGTGATAAAAGACGGTGTACAGTGGACCCGGATCGGAGCGGTGACGGGTAAGCTAATGTCTTGGGTGTTACCCTAAGAGGACCGGTGGATTTGAACCGGTTATGGTCTCAACTCTCTTTACGGACTTTGGAGATGCGCACCTCTGGTGGACCACAACAGCTGTACGCTACTTAGCTTCTGACAAGGCTAAGAATGGGTGGCCCTAGCTGGCTATGTGCCCGAGGGGTGCGGGCCAGCAGATGCCCCTACTCTTTATATGCACTGTGAAGCTCAACTGTTCAGCTATATCCATTCGAATTGATAATTATGGGCTGTTAGTTGGTTTCGGAACTGTCCCGTACTGTTCACCCTCCGGTTTACGGCTACCTTCGCCCTTCAAGTTACTTCAGGATTCCACAGTTTAAGGTGGATAGTGAAGCCAGTTCAGTGTGGCGGAAACAAGATGGTGCGTTATCTCACTAAAACCGATTTGTTCGTGAGTAGTCGGGTGGGCAGTTCAGCCATCGGTCGAGGTAGACCATCTGAGTGGCCAACTACATCATTTCTTTCTGTGAGGCTTAGGAGGATGCCTGACCAGCTGAAGAACATTCTCACTATATGATATCCCGCAGAGTACTTTATTGGGGAATTGGTATAACTGGGAAAAAGCGAATACTTTTGTACAAACAAACGCCGGATATGTGTTTAATCTTGTAACTTTTTTCTGCTGTTTAAAACAAGCACGTTTCGGACTGAAGTCCTTGTGGTGGTGGCAAGAGCAGTGTCTCCTAACGGTCTCAGCCTTCCCAACCTGAGCGAGGTCCAAAAGTGGAGGGTAAGAAGTTACACGCTGCGTGTAATCGCCTGAACACCGGAAATCATACAGCATGTGGATATGGTGGAATTAATGTATTTAAGTGAGTCCGATCGATGAGGAAAGCATCCCAGAAAGTGCAGAAACCTATACTTGGCAGGCATTCTTTTCATCAACTACATTTGGTGTAAAATGGTTTCTGTTGGAATTGAGAACCCAACTCATGATCTGTCTTAGTTTGACGGCGTTTGATTAGTTGGATGACACCAATTTCACATCGAGGTCTTATGTCGTCCCAGTACAAACCCAAAACCGCCATCTTTGCGCCAAGTTCCGCATGAAGTTCATAGGTACTTTGCCAGGGTACCAGTGAAAGTTAAAAAAGCAAGCACAGCCATTAAGTTTATTGGATTGATACAAGTCTTCCCTACTACCGGTAGTAAGATAGACGGTGGTTATATTCGAGTTGTAAATCCAGACTAACGACTCCGATGCACGGGATTCGCTCCATCGAGCACCCATTCCCACGGACCAAGAATGGGGGGGGGGTTGAGAACTTCATTTGAGAAAGAACTGCTACGGTACCGGTTTCTTGTGTTCTTATCTTATCTTGAAAAAGTCTCTCCATCCAGAGAGTCATTTACTTCATAAAATGAATGTTTCATTCCTCCCAGGTATCACAACGGCAGTGCTCTGATGGGGTAGGCTTAACCATCAACCGTCATCTCTGATGACTTCCACTGGGATTTCTGTCGCCTCATTTTGCCGAATTTTCTCAAATTTGCGATTTGGACTGAGAATAATAATAATAATAAAGAACCGTTTTGTGATCTCTAGCTATTGCCCTCTGAAAGATGATGAATCGGTTTTGATGTCACTGGCAGTAGCGGTCCAGGAACCACTGCCACAAACCGACGTTCAGTGCAAAGTACGATACAAGTTATATTGACGTAAGCTGTAAGAAATATTACAAGCCATTAATACGTTTAGTTAGACCAGCGTAGAAGTCAGTTCTTATAAATCGTAAGAGAAAACACATCTGGTATCCTGCACGAATAACCCAGTACATGTGTGGAGACCAGATTCCCAGGTTTTACGGAAATGCATTTTTGGCAGACGTTGGGGTAAGAGGCATATACGTAGGTTGATTTTGTTTTAAACATTTTCACTCGAATGCAGATTCAGCGGCAACAAACCAAGACCCAAAGGCGTTTCCTTGCAAAAGGACCTCTCTCTGAGGGCAAACTTCGCACTGATATTCACTTGGCCGTCGCAGTCTAGTTTCTCTTAAGAAAACAGCCACTTGACGCTTGCACCCCACCCTAAAGAAATAAACCACCATTGAGAACAGAAATGAGAGAATCAAACTGAAGAAATAAACGTAGCTAAGAACCAAAACGTGTTGACAAAAGACGAAACTCAGTTTCAAACTTTCTATTTATAATTCGCTAAATCCTTCCGTCACTTGGTGTCAGCTTTTCCAGGAGTTCCATGGCGGGGCGACATGACGCAACCACCTGATTAAGTGGGGAGAAGATGTCGTTGAATTCGAGAAACACAGACCAGTAGCCGTAAATGAGTGCATCCAAGCGACCTGGCTCTGGACGGCCGAAACAGTATGGCCCAGGGTCGAGAAGTTGGGTCACACCGAAACACACACCTTCCATTTCAGCTAAAACATCAGGTAACGTCTTATCAGCCCATCCTATGGAGGACATGTAGGTCTTATAGCGTTTGCGCTGATTACCCAGAACCAGATGGGACAATGGCCATGGCACGTTAGGACTGGTACGAGGCACAGTGAAAGACCGGAATGTAGGTTCGTGAATCCATGTAAAGTACAGCATAATATTTCGCAGAACATCCGACAGCCAGACAAGACAAACGCGACGCATGCTCTTGAGTATTAGAGAATCATCGGTTTGTGAATCACCAATCTGGACTACCGACCCTTTTACAGGTCTGGTAGCTTCTAAGGCATTACACAATGCATCGTAGCCGGACAGAAGATGACCTTTGAAGCAAACCAACGGCAGCAAGCGATCGGGAGAACAGGAATCAGCATTTGTCGTTCTCTCTAACGTAAATTTGTTGCCGATCTTGGACAGGAAGCACACGCCTGCGCGGGTGGCAGCCTCGTCAGCCGGCAGAATATGCTCAATGTCTTTTGAAAGCAGAACCAAAGGAACCATTGAGAATCCTTTTCGCCGATTTACTGCATGGTAAGTTCATATACAGAGCTGAAAAACAAGGGGCACGAACAAAATAATTATGGGACTAAATAATACAATGATAAATAATGAATAAAATTCGTCACTAGCGCCGTTGACTATAAGCCATACAACGATATACGTCAGCAATTCTAGGCCTTAGATGTTAAAATCGCACAATTGCATCTCGAATAACCTAAAAGGGGTACGAGATGGCTCAGTGGTTACTGACCGGAATGTCCGTGGTTCGAACCTGACCTCCGCCTCTCGACTTCCTTTGTCTAGGATTGGGTAACCTGGCGGTATCCTAGCCCTCGTGCTTCCTGGCATGGCAGCTAGTTACCGTAAGGTTGTTACAGCTGAACGATAATCGATTGTTTCGAATAACTTAAAAATCTCGGCACGGGGCAATGCAATCCATGACAAGTTCAAGCAAAAAGGGATATGAAACCACGAGACACCTTCTCAGAGATATTAAAAATACTAGAGGAAAGAAGATTGTGACCCTATGAAGTCCAAACGGGATTCCGTGCGAAAGAGCTGACGTCTAAAGACAACAAATTGCCGATGTTCTAAGCCAACGTTGGTAAGTGATAATGATGGTGAGACTAGTGCCATATGTTAGAAGGACTGCCTCCGAACAATTTGTCTTGTGTGCTGGAAACTGGTTTTCACATTTAAGCCTTCCATTGACATTCTATTGGACTGTTAGTTTGCAGTACAACTTCCTCAAGGTTGTTTGTCTTTTCGATTTCGGTGTAGTGACAAGTCTGACTGACACCTTATTAGAGATCATAACACCATGTCAAGCGTAAAGTCGTACACAGGTTCACCAAAGGTAAAAGAGCATGATTCAAAAGAGTATATAACATAAAGGTGAGCAATGAATGTGTTGACAGAATGACGTATGAGGACAAATAGACAGGACGAACGAGATATGCACCCGATAGAGAACAGCAACGTTTCGCAAAATTCTCCGGGTTAAAAAAGGACGTTGGATTAGCCAACTATGAGGTGAATTACCCCTAAAAGATATGGAACTTGAGTCGGCCTCAGATTACCAATATAATCATCATACCGACAGTACAGCTGATGGTTCCCTGCCGTACCATCGACCTCAAAATTGTGTATCCTACCAGTGGGGACCAAACCAACGTCACGTCGGTAAAAGATGTCGAAGGATTGCCATTGTCCTCCAGACTGGAGGGGCGGCTTCGTATTTCGACAGTTCACCGGCACTTATATAACTGTATAGACCAATGGCTCATACGCTACCACTAAAACGAGTCTGGGCTTACTTACTTTTCATGGAACACCCGAAACCGGCGAGGTGAAGCCCATGTCACCCGGTGAAGGACTATTTAAAGTAATATAGTTAAGATTGCTCCAAAATGGGTAGTATATTCAGTGTATGGGAATGACTGCTTCAGGGTTCATGAGGCTTCCGAAGGCAAACGAAATCCATGTAACATATCGATACCGGTTTGGAAGAGGAAAGAGACAACAATAGTCATCTCTAATACATCTGAATAGGGTGACCTCCAGGGAAAGTTCTCCATCGGTCAATCGTTATCCCTGGTAGCAAGCATGCACAGAGAACGCAGAATGTATTGGCCACTACAATCTACATCATGCGAGCGTTTTGACCTTCTTGAGCTCACTGCAAAGGTTCATGTAGTTCAAAATCCCGAAAATTTCCATTACACTGACATGCTTTCCATGTGGGATATCGCTGAAGCAGTGCGACGGAGTCCGAATAATTGCAAAGATCCTCTTCAGCGCTCAGGACCTCACTGAAATCAGTCTTTCACGCGCTTCAGATGGTAGTGTTACCTTTGCGCAAACTTCCTGCTATTCGTGACTTAAATCCTTTCAGTGGGCAGTCGAAGTAGACAAAAAAATTCCGGATCTGGATGTAATTAGTTTTAAGCTGTGTTTCAACAAAAAGAACCAATTCAGCCAATCCAATGAAACGATTAAATCAGGAAACCTCGACTTTCTCAGCGACCCGGAAAGAAACTTACATGCTCGACAGGTACTTAGTGTCCAGAGGTATAATGAAACCTCAATGGTGAGTGTGGGAATGGCCGTCAAGGATACCTCCTGATCCTGAGGAATGCGTAAAAGGTGAAGAATTTTAGCGCACTAACTTCACTTAGATTAGGATAATTCCTACATGGGTCAAACAACTCCATGAATAGCCCGGATCACAGCCACCTACGTTTGACGTGATGTTAACGTAACAATACCACCTGAAGTGCGACCAACAGCTGCCCTGTAATAAGAGGCTAACAGAAGAACGCCGATGCCGTTATTCACTGCTCTGTCAAGCTGGCAGCACTGAAACCTAAGTATTGGGCTCTCCGAGGGGTAAATATTCACCACAAACTACGCCTGTCGGGCCCTGCTCCAGCCCATCCAAGTCTTGCATATTGGCTTAAACAACCGGTGTGTATGTCTGACGTCAAATGCAACTTTCAAGGACCAATAAACTTTCATAAGAATAATGGTTTTGCCGTAGGCTTTCTTCACTTTGAACCGCACCAAGTCGTCCCCATCCGCCTTCGCTTCCTCGGTGACAAGCTCAGTTTGAGGAAGAAAGAAGTGTTACCAGGCCAGTAAACACTTGTCTGTAGTACAACGCCTTTTTGAACTACCTAGTGGCACTTCCAACGATACGGTGACTCGTTCTCCGTCAGGCTGCTACGTGTTAGCATTCACGGTATGATTGAGCCCTTAGGAACCAGGCTCCAATTAGTATTGTCTACAGGACCATTGCACCCTGAAGCCCGACTAACATGACACGTCCGAATAGGCGAAACGGACCCTTAAGATCGTAAACCTCAAGTTCACTTAATCCATTGATTTTAAAGCAGTCTGGCTGATTGATCGGATGTCGTCAACTTATCCCCACTAGGTCATCTCCACAACTGGTTCAGTCGTCTTGAAAATCGACATTATCCTTTGAGGCGTAGGTCGCTCGTCGTAAACAGGCCACAAGTTATGCGTGCTAATTTAGCACTAACCCCACGCTGACTTAAAGGTTGGTGTCCTCTTTCGTTGTTGAAGACCAGGACGTTTCTACAAATTATAGCACCTCACCTTGATGCTCAGAGACGGGCGCCCAGCTACAAGCATTTCCATCGGCAGACTTTCCCATGAGATATGTTCTTCGTGTTATGTGGTTAACTAAAGAGACCCACGCACCTAACAGACTTGCCACTGAGACGGCGACCCAACGGTTTCATAACCACCAGGCAGTAACGTCCGTACTGACAACGATGCTTCACTGCCTTGCAACAACATTATCATCATCAAAGACAGCAACATCAGTGTTGGCACTGATGCTTCACTGCCGTACAGCAATAAGGCTTGTCTGGTTATATATATATATA